TCAGCCTCCCAAGTAGTTGGGACTACAGGCGCTGGCCACAACATCCGGCTATTTTTTGGTTGCAGTTGTCATTGCTGTTTAACTGGCCCAGGCCAGGTTTGAACTCGCCACCCTTGGTGTATGTAGCTGGCACTGTAACCACTGTGCTATGGGCGCTGAGCCAAGATTTTTCAAGAAAAAACTAAATCCAGGTCTATGTGTTTTTTTTTAAAGATCAGGTATATTCCAATTCACCAAATATTTAAATGTCTACCATATGCTCAGCATGATGGTTAGGGATTCATATCATGGAAAGTAATGATGACACCGTACCCTGATTTTAGGTACTTATCTATGGGATTAGATAGGCTCACAGCACTTTATACAATGAATGGTAGTCTGTTCACTTATTTATCTCCTCTTATACATTTCAAGTTGATTTGCAGAGCCATGTTTTACTCACCTGAATATTTTCATTCTCTATTTTTTTAATACCCAGTTAGGGTCTACTTTGTCCTATGACAATTTAAGAGAAAAATGAAAAGTACTTTCTAGCTAATTTTCCACTGAATAGATCTGAACCTTCTGTTTATACTTATCCCAACACATTTCAATATATTTTATGTTATAACATTATATAATATCTAAGTTCAAGATTTATTTTATGCAGATCATATATTAGATTGGATGTTTGCTAACCATAATTTTAATAGTTCTTCTCCAAATGACATGTCAGGATGGGGAAATTCTGGAGGATTTCTATTGAAAGCTATTATCATCCACAGCACATGAATATTTATAAATTTTAACTGAAAGAGTGTTCCTTTCTTGGTACAGTTGACCTGTTTTCTCAAGGATCCTCAATTTCAATTTCTTTCTCTTTTAGATCTTTATCCAAAATAAACCCCCATAACTGGTTTACTGTCAACAATGCAGATTATTACTCAAAAGTTCCTTTATATAATTATAGCATAGAATAGTAAAATATCTATGAGTGTAGTACTAAATAGTGTAGGTACGTTTGTTTGATCCTGAGAGTCTATAGTTAAACATCAAGGATATTTCTTTCAGCTGGGTGCGGGGGCTTGCGCCTGCAATCCTAGCACTCTGGGAAGCTGAAGAGGGTGGATTGCCTGAGCATGAGTGAGACCCAATTTCTAGTAAAAACAGAAAAACTAGCTGCTAGCTGGGCATTGCGGTGGGTACCTATAGTCTCAGGTTGGGAGGCTGGGGCAAGAAGATTGCTTGAGCCCAAGAGTTTAAGGTTGCTGTGAGCTATAATGCCATGGCACTCACCTAGAGTGACAGAGTAAGACTGTTTTTGTCTCCAAAAAAAAAAAAAAGAATATTTCTTTAGCTGATACTCTAGCACTTTTGCTACATCATCTAGTCAAAGCTTTCTTTTCTTTTTTTCTTATAACCTCACTCACCAGCCTTTAAAATACTGAAAAACATAATTCCATAAAAAATAATATGGAATAAGAACATCATATTCTTCACTTATATATTGATACACATTAGGCTGTTAAGCATGAAATGTCTGGCTGGGCGTAGTGGCTTATGCCTGAAATCCTAGCACTCTGGGAGGCCAAGGAGGATTGCCTGAGCTCATGAATTCGAGCCTAGCCTGAGCCAGAACCAGAGTAAGAAGCCAGTACTTCGTCTCTAAAAAACACAGCCGGGCATTGTTGCAGGCACCTGTAGTCCCAGCTACTTGGGAGGCTGAGGCAAGAGAACTGCTTAAGCCAAAGAGGTTGCTGTGAACTGTGATGCCACAGCACTCTACTGAGGGTGACAAAATGACACTCTATCTGAAAAAAAAAGTGTGAAATGTCTGATTTCCTTAAGTATTGTCTGACAGTTTATATCTCTGACATTCTTGGCTTTTCTTTCAATTGTGAAGGTTAATCCTCAGTCTTTCACACACACATTTTGGCTTGTCATTATTTTTCCAAAAAATTTTTAGAGCCTATTTTGGGCAACCATGGATAAATCAAAAATTTATGTTATTTTTGAAAGTGAGTTCCACTGTGGTACCAATGCAGAGCAGACAGCTTGAAATATCAACAAAGTGATTGGGAAGGATGCAGCTCATGAACGAATGCACAGCATGTGGATGGTTTGAGAAGTTCCATTCTGGTGATTTTAATCTTGAAAATGAGCCACACAGACAACCTGAGACTAAGATGGATGATGATGAGCTGAGGGCTATAGTGGAAGTGAATGCATCTCAACCTATGGGTGAATTAGCAAGGTTTGATGTTACTATTCAACAATATCGGACCATTTGAAACAAAACAGCAAAGTAAAAAGCTAGGTAGATGGGTTCTGCATGAATAAAAGAGCATCAGAGGAGAAATCGTCTTAAAGCTTGCCTTTCTTT